TCTTGATTCAAATGAAGCCCCTCTGTTTTATACAGGTATCTTTACTATGTTTTGCAAAAACAGTTTTAAAGAAATGAATTCTTAATTCTTTCAACTGTTTGCCTATAAAACTCTATTGTTCCTTCAATTCTGAGTGTTAGCCTGAGTACAGTATTCTTGATTGACCAGTTTTCCTTTCATCACTTTGAATATGTTATTCCATTCTCTCTTGGCTTGTCAGCTTTCTGCTAAGAAATTCACTGATAACCTTATCTCTCTCTCTCTCTCTCACATACACTCACAACCTATAATATATATATACACACACACACACATATATATGTGTATATATATATATATGCCTATTTAGCATTTTCTCCTCATCTTTAATTTTTGCCACTTTAATTTTAATGTGTGTCTGTTTAGGGCTTATTTTGTTTGGCTTTTTTTTTTTTTTTTTTTGTAGGAAGCTCGTAGGAATACTCTCATAAAAGATACCATGAGGGAACAGTGCATTCCAAACTTGGTGGAATCATGGTACCAAATCCTGCAGAATTATCAGTACACTAATTCAGAAGTGACGTGTCAGTGCCTTGAAGTAGTTGGGGCTTATGTGTCTTGGATAGACTTGTCCCTGGTGGCCAACGATAGGTAAGCGCATCCTTTTAAAACCAAAGGTCTCCCCGAGAATGGGGAGGAGTTGCCAACCTCACTCCCTCGTTGCCAGGTTTCTGAGCATGCTGCTAGGTCATATGTCAGTGGAAGTTCTGCGGGAAGAAGCCTGCGACTGCTTGTTTGAGATCGTGAATAAAGGAATGGACCCTGTCGGTAAAATGAAGCTAGTAGAGTCTTTGTGTCAAGTGTTACAGTCTGCTGGGTTTTTCAACATTGACCAGGTCAGTATACGTTCATACAGTGTTTTAAAAATTGTTAGAACGATTAGTAGTTACTGAGGGCAGGCAGTGATTTGAGCATGTTTCTTTTCTTTTTATGTTGGAAACCCTCCTGCAGGTTAGAATGTTAACTTTGTATCCGGAGAGTCATAGCCTTGTCTACCTGTACGTTTGCCTTGGACACTAACTTAAGCCTTTTCTTAAAACCTGAGGAACTGGGATGTTCATTAGTGTTAATGTAGATTTTTCTAAGAGCGAATGGGTATATAATAAAAAGGAAAGGGCACTCTTACAAACTCTGGGGTGTGCACGTAGCTCTCCTGTGGGCTGTAGTGCCTTTGCCAACACTTGCTGGCCACACTGAGACTTAGTGACACAAATACACGTTTTCATCAGACCTTTTCAGTTAAGAATTCTTTGAGCTAGTAGAATTTAGCCCTGGTAAAGTAAGGACTTGGGGTATCGTAAATTAGTAATTTCGAGGCAGAACTTGAAAGCGCTTGTTTTAAAGTTACGGCAGTGACAGTCACTGAGAAATCTGTGTCATCAGTACAGCTTTAGAGCCCCCTTGCTCACCGATGACTAGCAACATCATCTTACCTTACTGCTGGCTGTCTTGGCTTCTCAGGGGAACATCCTAAGAACAGTTAATGCAAACCACGCAGGTGTGAGTTTGACTAAAGCTAGCGTGGCCTGGGTGGGTGACGGGAGTGGCACACGGTGGTGGAATTCAAACCGCAGAGCCCCGGGTGAGCTGCCGGGGCTGCGGGCGTCTCGTGTTCACCGTTACTATTGAGCCTCAGGACTCGGACCAGCGTGGGGCTTTCCTCTTGGGGGGTGATTGTAAGCGGACCGATTGCTTACAGGAAGAAGATGTTGACTTCCTGGCCAGATTCTCCAAGCTGGTGAACGGAATGGGGCAGTCGCTGATCGCCAGCTGGACTAAGCTGACCAAGAGCGCAGACACCCAGAGTGCGCAGGAGGCCCTGCGAGCGGTGGAAGCCAAAGTGGCCCTGATGCTGCAGCTGCTGGTTCACGAGGATGACGACATCTCTTCAAACATTGTTGGGTTTTGTTACGACTATCTTCATCTTTTGAAGCAGGCGAGTACTTGCTGTGATCTCTCTGTCTGGCATAGAACACAGAAAAGCCGTAAAGAATTGAGAAACACCAGAAAGTGAAACTCTGTAATTCTGCCTCATGATATGTATGCTACATGTTGATGTGTTGGCGTCTTTTTTTCCCTCTTTAAACTTAGCCATAAAACAGGAATGGCTCTAAAATTCACTAGACTAACACGTTTCAAAATTACTTATAGGGTTAGGTTAGCGTTTCATTTTGAATCCGTGTTTAAGTCTAATTATGGTAGTAATGTGTTACTGTGATTCATTATTTTCATTGCACATAACATTTCTTAGCAAATTTTTATAATTAAAAATTTCCTCCAGAGCCGCTTCCAGTAAACTTCAAAGACACAAGACATTGGTCTCCATGTTATAATATACAGGCTTTTAAAGAATTAGTATCTTCTCCTTGAGGTGCTAGATAAGAGAACTGTTTCTAATTATATACATGGAATTAGTTGTATCAGGTCACTTAAAACATTTTTTTCCAAACTGAGCTTATGTGTTGTGTTTATATATTGCATAGTTTATACATAAATACCCATACCCGCGCGCGCGCGCGCGCGCGCGTGTGTGTGTGTGTGTGTGTGTGTGTGTAGAGAGAGAGAGAGATACACTTTATATAACTCAGGAAATTTTAGGCAATGTAGAAAAGGATAAAGAAAGTTTAAAATGACTATTGACCTCACTCTGTCTCTTAACGGATTACTACTGGACTTGGTTTAAAACAAGGCAAGATCATGCTTTACTGTTCCATAATTCTTTGAGAACATTGTAAGTGTCTTTAAAGATCACATTTATCTACACATTTGTCTGAGCCAAATTACTCACTAGAAGTCGCATTTGCTAGGTTTTCGTCTGATTCTCAGCACAGCAAGGTTCTGCCCTCCAAGGCAGTCGTGTGTGTCTTAGACAATCTCAGCTCAGTAGGAGAGGATGTTGCTCGCCGAAACCTAATAAATTATCGCTTACTTTTACAGCTTCCAGTGCTCTCAGATCAACAAAAAGCTAACGTAGAGGTAATAGACCTTTTTTCCTGAGCTCTGGCTTGTTTTGGCCCAGAGGGACCCGGCTGAGGCTAGAGGTGGGGGAGGCTTCCCGGCAGAGGCAGGGCCGAGGTGACCCTTGCCACCCCCGAGGCCTGGCCACGGCCCCGTTCTCTTCTGAACCACAGACTGCGTCTGTGACTGCGTCTCCCTGTGAATCTGGTTTAGCTTGAAGCGAGAGCAAATTCGAGGACGTATCTGACAGCAGATTCCTCCTTGATTTTAGGCAATCATGTTGGCCGTCATGAAAAAGTTGACGTATGACGAAGAATATAACTTTGAAAATGAGGTAAAAATTTTGCATTGAGGAGAAATCAGTTTTCGTTTCAGTACTTCAGTTTGCATTACTGTCGGGCCTGTCAGAAAAGCGGGCCTAGCCGCCAGTGAGCGGACGGCGCCTCCTGGCCCTCGGAGACCGTCGTGTCAGCCCGCACGGCGCCGTCCGCTGTGACGCTGGCCGGGAGCGAGGGGTCCGGGGAGCCC